GGCATCGCCCGGAATCGTGTAAGTCACAAAACGTTTTCAATAATGAGACAGAATTAGTGATTCACCGCATTTATCAATACAATGGGTGTGAGCGCGGGCAAGTAAGGAATCAGAAACTTACAAATTCACGCATGCAAAAAAGCTGCTCCAATCGCGCGTTCTTCATACCGTAGTTGTTTTCGCTGCGGGTGCGCCAGCCTGCCGCGCGATGTCGCGTTGCGAAGAGCGAAAAAGTCGCGTTCTGTCCTAAGTACCCACACCCCACACTCTTTTGTTCGATGAACATTAAAAAAACGTGAAAATTGATTGATGAATGGACTATGGAACAAAAGCTAATGTCTCCGTGGGAACAGACATGGCAGAGCACGGTCCCAAGCTAGGTAAGCTTCCCTTGTAGAATTGTTTAGTCAAGGAGACGTAAGACACTAACTCAAAAAAATCGTGCAGCGAAAGATTTTTGAAACATTGAAGAGGAGAGTATGACTTCAACTCGGAGGGCGCAAGTAATGTAATAAGAAATTAAGTTCCACCTAGCCAAAAACTGAGCAGAAATGACCTTCAAAGAGAGTAGCATTCTGCTTTTGCACTACTACTGTCTGTGTGCCGGCCTTCGCGTTCCGTTCCTATGAAAAATCGATCAGCGAACAGCCCAGTCCACAAAAAGCAGGCGGGAACAGAATAACGTCAAAGGCCTGAAGGATGATGGCAGAAACCTATTGCGTTCAGGCTCCACAACAGGGTGGTTCTAGTGAAGCCTTAACGCAACATGAAATAATTAATCAATACGTTTTGATCACTCTAGTAAAGGCAATGAGAGCGAAGGGCAATTCAAGCGAGCATTAGTTTTGCTAGGTGACCGAGAATAGGAAGCGTCCCTCTTATCATTGTCGTGATAACTGTCGAAATTTTCTTTCTTCTGATGAGAACATCGAACAATGAACACTTTTCCGACGCAAAAAGAACTTGAACGAGCATCAGAGACTGACACAAATGTGAAAGGCGTTGCACAACAGAAGCAAAGCCCATTTCAGACCGACAAACATTGCAGTGTTAATCAAACTCATGGCCATATTAAACTACTGGCTGTGACTCGAGCGATGTTAAAAATGTTGAATACGGCATAGCGACCGACAGATGGAGGTAAAATTTCTATCACACGACGCTACTGTTTACCCTCCTTATTCAGGACGCTGCCGTACGAAAAAGCGTTATCTCAAGCTTGTGGGTGTGCTTCACTTGGACAGAAAGCGACTTTTTCGCGTTTCGCAGCGCGAAACATTTTTCGCTGCGGGAACCTCGGGTCCACTGATTTTTCGCTGCGGGAACCTCGGGTCCACTGATGATCAGAGGTGGACCCGCAGCGGAAAATGTTTCGCGCTGCGAAACGCGAAAAATTCGCTTTACGTCCTAGTGAACCACACCCCAGCTTTTTAGTACCACCACTCGGATGCATAAACAGGAGCAAATTCTCCGATGGAGTGAGCCCCACTGCTATAAGCCAGTTTTGGTTCTTTATCTTTCAAGAGTGATTCAGTGGCCTCAAAGCCAGCTTCTCTGTCTCCAGTGTCAGCAGGCCAGGGAAGAATTAGTTAGTTCAGCGATGTACCCATGAGTCGTTGGCTGTATCGCTTCGATGCTGAAAACTCGCCGACGACCCTTGCTGCGAACGAACGCGTACCAACATAGAATTTTTGGCTTAGCCAAATGAAAAACTGCCACGTGGTGCGAAATAGTAACTGCCCCTTGGACTAAGCTTTGGAGGAGCAGACGAACAGGGCGCCGCGCCGCTGCATGGTCCCTCCCCAACCCACTTAGCACCTGCATGAGCCCTAATCAAGAACATCTGGGGCGGTATTCAATCCTTCCCCCAGGGGGATATATCCCCCTACTCTGATTCAATCCTCTGGGGGGACAAAAAAGGGTTGCGTCATAGGACCTAGCATACCTCTGTGTTTCTACCTGCCAGACAGTTAGAGCAGCGCGACCCCTCAGGGAAAAGAGTGCTTCATCAGTGG